TATGATATTCGTGTTTAAAATTTTGATACATTATATATTTTAATGTATTTACATAAACCCGAATTAATTTATTTTTGCCCAGCTCAGCTTACAGGTTCAAATTAATTTATTTAAATATTAAAATATTAATTGTGATATAAAAAATAATAAAAAGATAATAAAATTAACCAGATGTTTCCAAATATAAAATACCAATTATTGATCTATTAAAATTTATATATAAAATTTAATATATCTTAAATATGATTGTGATATAGTTAAAATGCGCAAATTATCAGATAGTGTTGGTCCTTTACCTTTTATGAATAATTAATTTATTGAAACTAAACCACATTTTATTCCTGCTTTTCCATAGTTCACACTTGCATGTTTACCGTCATTTACATCATAAATTAGTAATTCTTTTTGAGTAATAATAAGCAAATGAGTAAACTATCCTATTAGTCATATAACTATTAGGGCGTATCTATTTTGGTCACTAAACTCAGAAGTTATTCGATTTAACCACTAATGTTACAAAAATTTATCAATTTGGTCACCGTTCGTTAACTAGTTAGTGAATTTGCCGACATTACATTTTTAATTGGTATAATAACACATTTAGTCCTCAATAGTTATGCACGATTAAGTTTTAGGTTCAAAGCCATGATTTTGATGAAGTTCTGAGTGGCGGTATAGTGTAATAGAGGGTTGTTTTCTATTTAGGGGAGAATTGATGATGGTTTTTTCAGTGATGATGGGTTGGTGAAATGGTGGAGGATGGATGTAGATGGTGATGTTGGTCGATGGTATTGGTTTTGTCTAGTAGTAGTGAAATTAAGGGTAGTTTAAGGAAGTGTTTGGTGGGAAATGGGAGTGATGGTAAGCTTTGCTTCAGAAGAGTGTTGTTTGTGAGTGGTGAACTAAATAGCATGGATAAGGTTAAGATTGTAATGCTGAAGGTTTGTGGACAATGGGTTGAATTGGTCTTATGGGTTAGTTGGGATGCTGAATTTGAGTGATGAATGACTAAATTAATTGGATTTCTAAAATAAATGGTTTAATTTGTTAAATTGTGTATACTTATGATAAAATTAATAGAAAATATCAATGTTAAGGATTAAATATGTTATTCTATCAATTTAAAAAAAATACCACGTAAACAAGTTAGTTAACAATATTACATTCGGTTACCAAAATGATATTTTTTTTTGTAATATTAGTAGTTCAATTAAAAAAACAAAGTTTAGTGATCAAAATGGAAATACCCTAATAGTTAGGTGACTAGTTGGTAGTTTACCCAAAGTCACCCAAAAACACATACATTATTTTCTCTCTTATATTTTTTATTTGTCAAAAAAAACACTTTTAAATTTTATCTTCTAGAGTCCAACTTATGGATCAACTAACCCACAAATATAGGTACAAGTTATGGAATGAGAGATTGTTGGAAAAACAAGCCCCATACATGTTGATAGCTTTGAGGGTATTAATAGTTGCTTTAATATAATAATAATAAAATTAAAAGGCAGAATATAATAAAATGAAAATGCATCTTTAGGATATAGTAAACAAAGTAATATCATTCAAATGGACGAATTATGTAATCTCGGTAATAAAAGAATTATTGTTATTCTTTGAAATTTTAAATTTGACATCATGAATACTAAGGGCATTGAAATGATTAAAATTATTTTAGAATAAATATTATTTTGTACGAAATCATATATATTAATTATAAACAAATTTAAATATTATTTAAACGAGTAATTTTTTTATTTAAATCGAGAGCGTTGTTGGATCCATGAAGTGAAGAGATACTGTTTTTTATATAAAAAATTATTAGAAGAATGATATGATCACATTATCTACCCATGACACATGCAGAATCCCAAATAAACCTGAAACCCCAAGTGCAAACATGTGATCATTTAAATCCAATTTTAATAATAAACAAATCAAAGTTGATCTTTGCAAACTAAAATAAACAGAAAACTTTGGGAAAGGTGGAGGTTTTGGAAATAATAAAGGAAAAAAACTGTTTTGATGTTAGATCTAATAATTTGTATATTCATGTTATATTTATGTAGTCATTAGATACATACAATGTATTAATTATAGGTATTGTGAACTCATTTAGTGATCTCGATAGTTAAAGAGGGTGTTGTTCTTTTACAGATCTTGAGTTTAAACAATTGCATCTGTAGGATGTGTACGTTATCAATTATTAAGAAAGAGTATGAATAAATATTATTTTATAATCACCTCAGACTATCCAAAAGAAATTAGGTATTGTATGGTGTATGATCAGTGGTGGATGTATGCATTATTCAGGGCGGACACGTCCTAATTTCTTTATATTAGTTATCAATTCTATTGAAGGTATTCACCTTAAATTTTTTTTGTGCTCACCTCGTATGAAAATTTTGTGATATTAATATATATATTTTCACCCTGAAAGTATTTCTTGATTCACTATTGTATACGATGATATTATGGGAGATAATTGAGGGGGGCAAGGAATGCAGGGAATGTGGTGAACATGCTGCTGCTGCACTGTCTTAGCTTTGTGTTCACATGGAATTACCTGTTTGAAAGCTACACTCCAAATCATCTTCACTAGCATGTGCCTTTCCATGTGCTCCCAAAGGCCCATATCACCTTCACATGCACCCTTTAGGGAAGCCAACTATGCCATAAACCCCTAATAATCCAAACTACCTCCTAACCCTCCTCTTTTCACTCTTTTGCCCTCTTCTTTTTCTTTCTTTTTAAATAAATTCAAAGAATGGATTATATATCTTTAAGATTATTTTAAGTTTTTTATTTCTACATAGTCTGGAGTGATTTTATAAAAATAATATTTCTTTAAAATTTTCTTAATCAATTGATATTATACGCATATCTTATAAATGTGATCACTCAAATTAAATATTTTTAAAAAATAATATTTCTTTTTACACGTGAGACGATGGGTTATTAGATTATTTAAAGTTACATTCTTTACCATTGAGATTTTAATATTTGGACAAATTCTATTAGTAATCTTGTGGGGTCCATTTGATATTTGATTGGACATTGTCCTTAAAGTTTGTGTATATATGATAACCCCATAGGTTGATACTCTTCCACATTGAGTGGCTTGGTCGTTTTGTCTACTAATTTTCCAGTTAATATGTTTTTGGTTTTGCCTAATGCAACACTAATTCCACTAATATTTATATCTCTAGGTCTTTTTTGAGTTGAGAATTACATGTGAAATTACATTGAAGTAGTGATGAAATTAATCTCAAACGGTAAGACAGTTTGTCTGATTAAATATATAATAATATGTTTTTAAAACAAACTGTCAAACTAAGGTGTCGTGAAATTTGAAAAAAAAAAGTTTATTATGAGGAAAATTAGGATATAAGGAAAATTATAGGGTTGGTTTTAAAACTTCAAATTCATTAAAATTATTTTCTAACACAATATATAAATTAATAATACATTTGAGAATAGATGGATGAAAAGCGGAGAAGTATAGAATGTCAACTATGATGCTTATGAATGAGAGTATTTTTCTTCATTTTTATAAGAGGAAAAAAATATGGATAATGTAGTTAACCCAACCCTATTTGTTTCTGGTAAATTATTGGTTAATCCTATGGAGAGAGTTGGTATCACACGAGAAAATTTCAATGCATATTTAATTGACCTCAAATTCATAAAAGAAATATTATAATTTTTGCACGAATTAAATTATTTTAGTGGTTAAAAGAATAATTGTTATTATTAGAAGTTTCAGGTTCGAGCATCATAGCATGTAGGATATTTGAGTGTTCATTATCAAATGGTTAAAAGTCTATAGAATATATACTACCACTTGTAAGCGCCTTAGATTAATAAAAAAATATTGTTATTTGTTTTAACTCAAAATTTTAAATTTTGTCTTATACTTAAAAATTGGATTCTTTATAAGAATAGTAAAGTTAGAAAGTTCTTAATTTATACCTTTAAAATCACATTTATTATCAATATTTCATTACTCATTAAAAAATTAAATTAATAAAAGACTTTTAAGTTTGAATGCTCCTCTCAAACTATTGTAAAAGAAGCTAAAAGGTATGTATGTATGTATGTATAATCATCTCTTCCTCATCTCCAATTTTTTTTACTTTAAATATGTATATGATTAAGACAAAAAATATAACAATTTATATATTTATGTTGTATTTATAATTTTTTATATTATAAATATATTTAAAGCATTATATTTATATGTTTAAATCAAGAAAATGAATATAACAATTTATATATCTATGTTGTATCAAATTTATATTTTTAAAAAATATTAATTAAGTTTAAAGAACTCAATCCAATAATTATATATCAAATTATAAAAATAAATGTGAATTTTTTAATTAAATTTTAAAATATATTTTCATTTGAATCTTACATTAACTACATTTCAAATAATATATATATAATTGTTGATGGCAACAAGTTTATTTTGTTGTGTGTTTGTAGTTCACTCTTTTAATTTAGACGAAGAGTCACGGTGAGTGAAAGAACGACCGTTGATTGATATTTTGGTATTGAAGAGAATGAGTCACGGGGACGAAGAAGACGATATGAAGACAATAAGGGTTCGATGCCTTTTTCAATATTTGTTTAGGGTATTTATAATGACTTTTAGTGTTAATGTCAGACGTAAGATCATCATGACTATTTGTAAAGTGACACTTTAGGTAGATATGATAGTCAAACTTTAAATTTCATTCTAACGGATCACGTGAGACTATTAGAGATCATATCATGTATTTAATATGATTTTTTTTAAAAAAAATCAAAGTCCAAAGAAAATTTCATTTAAAGAAAAACCAATAATGGAATTTGCGTGGAAAAAAAAAACTTAATATAAAAGAATACTGTAATTGCCCTTACAAAAACCCGTTTCCTCCTACCACCCTTCTCCATATTCGCAAGATAAATTTTCCCATCATTTTCTTCTTCTTTTCTCTCGAACAAACAGCTTCTCTTTTCTCCCCTCCCCACTGTAGAAAAACCAAAAGGAAAAAATGAGAATTCAAAATGTTCCAGAAACCCATCAAGAAAATCAGAAAGAAAATCATCAACACTAACAAGTAGAGCAAGAAAAATGGCGAGAAAACGAGTTTCCTGCAGCAACAAGAGAAGAAGGATTTGCAACAACAGTTTTAAGCCTCGGGAGGTAATTTCAGACAAGCTTGAAGCTTTGAAGAGTTTAATTCCCTGTAATGTCGGAAATGGAAGCAATGAGGAAGTTAAAGTAGAACAGCTGTTCCAAGAAACTGCAGATTACATCATCACCTTGAAGACCCAAGCTTTCGTTTTGCAAAAGCTTATTGACTTTTATGATCATAGTGGTAATGGGTTTAAAAATGAAGAGCAGCTGCCAATTGTTCAAGAAGATCAATCATAGTTATTGAAAAAACATTCTAGTTTCTTCTTCTTCTTCTTTTTCTTTCATTTTTTGGAAAATCTCAGTTTCATGCAAGGACAGAGATCCTTTGTTACTTGTTTGGTGGAGGAGAAAATGATGGAAAGTGAAAAGAAAAAAGGGAAAGATTATGGAAATATCATCCATACATGGAGAAAATTTTCTCTTATTTCCTCTAGACATGGCTTAAACAAAATCTCCACATTTGGCATTGCATGGTTTGCTCTATTTCCTTAATTCATAAATTCAAAATGAGAATCCAAAATTTTAATATATTTTTCTTAAGAATTATTGGATATACTAATTTAATTATTACAAATTTTTTAAAATAATGAGATGCACTTGCTATAGAGTTTAGTGCATCCACCCTTAATTGCCTTAGAGGAATATATTCATCTTTATCCACTTATATTATCAAATTTTGATACTTTTTTAGTCTTTAATATTGTATTGATTCATACATTATTTTTTATATTGATACGTTTAAAACTTATATCAAGAATTTATTGATTGTTTTTAGTGGTAAAATATAGTTTTATTCTTTCCGAGGTCTCAATTTCAATTAAGTTTCGTCTGAAAAGTATGTGTATGTTGTCAATAACTAAATACATATTTTAAATATATATAACCTTGTAATCGTCTCAAATTATTAAAAAAATTATAGCAGTTATTTTCAAGGTTTTTTTATCTTCTTTGTTTGAAAATAGATTTGATTTGCTTCAACTATACGAATTTGTACCAATTCTTAGTCTATTCATCAAAGTTTCTCCTAATTTCCGTCGCAATTGCTGCCTTAGCCGTGTCCTATCATCTGTATAATGGGGTTCATCATTTAGAGAAGTTCAATTGGAGTAATTTAGGCAAGAAATATATTTTAAATTTTATAAAAAAATATTTTAAAATTTGAAAATCAACAGCAATATTCTATATTTTTAATTTTTTTGATAAATTTAAGATAAATATAATATAATATCGGTTTAAAATAATATCATAACTTTACATGTGTTCTTTTTATCTCTGAAGCTATGAATTGTGATGAAAGTGACTAGTTAAGAAACCCACATGCAAAAGCCGTTTTTTTTGGGCAGAAAGCTTCAAGTTTGCCCCTCTTTTGCCCCCTTTTCACATGGGATTGTGATTTTTGCCTCTCTATTTTGTCTCCCTAATATGATTTCCAATGTTTACAAGAATTGTGTATAATTTGAGGATAAGAAATTGTATTATAATGTTAGAATTTAAAATTAAATTTAGGGTAAACTACACATTTAATATTTTAATTATAATTTTTGTTATGTTTTGTTATTTATCTATTTTTCTCCAAAATCATATCTAACATTACTTTTAGGCTTCATTTTGACCACCCATCATTAAAAAATAACATAACTGCTAACGTGGCTTATATATATATATATATATATATATATATATATATATAAAAGCAATGATGGTGTGGCATTACCATAAGACACATCAGCATCACTGTTAATTTTACGGCGAGTGACCAAAATGAAATCAAAACTAAACGTTAATTATGATTTTGAAGAAAAAATAGTAAGGTGACCAAAATAGAATAAAAGTGAAAATTAGAGTACTAAATATGTAGTTTACCTTTAAATTTATAACTGATTTATATGAATTGAATAAGTTAAATTTTAGATTAAAGCCAACTTGAATTTTTCTTTTTACAGAAAAAAGGGTATTGTATCTTTTTGTCTGTTTGATTTATATAATTAAAGTACTAAATGAGTAGTTTACCCTAAAATTAAAATAACTTAGAAAATTATTTGCTTATGGCACATAAAACTTGGGAGTGAATATAGAGGGTTCAAACCTTCAAATAAGCACAAAAGTGTTTGTATCTTACTGTTTGTTTGATTTTTTTTTCATTGTATACGAGGAGGTAATAGCTTGAATCCAGGCCATTTATTATCCATGTCTTAGTTTGTGAACATATTTCCCTTGTAATATAAATTTTTACCTTTATGATTAAAAATGGTAGTGTTGTAGTTCTTAAGTCAATCGTAACGAAGAATTATTAGAAAATAAAACATAAATAAGAACATAAAAAAGTTTATTTTATATAATTTATATCGATTAATGATTTCATATTTGTGGGAATTTTTTTTAGAGAGAATTCTACTATAATATCATCAGTGCAAGAGATATAAATCATCAACCTCATTACATAAGCTAGTTGTAAGCATTATCCCATACAATATTATGCTACCTATTCTCTCCTTTAAGTGATTTCTATCGATTACTTCTCACAATAAACATAACTTTCAAAAATTAATAATTACACTCATAATATTTTTTAATAAATTAACATGTACTTCAACAATAAAATTTTCTCGAATAATACAATAAAAGTCCTAAAGAAAAGTAAATCCTAAATTTATTCTAATATAAACATGTGTCGACTTGAATAATAAATATTATTTCTCTAATTTAATTTTTTTAAATCATCATTGAAAAAAGTATCAACTAATGACGATTTTTTTTTTTATTAAATTGTGTAAAACATCGTAATTTTTTTTTTAAAAGCGTTGTTAATTTTATCACTATATGTTTGACATCTCAATTTTTTTTCAGGTCAACAGCTGGTCCACCATTGACCACCTGTGTCGAGAACTTTGTTAGCTGCTCCATCTACGTTAAGTTTCAAGTATCTAAATTGGAGTGCCATACGTATCATAAATATCTGAAAATACTAAGATCAAAACTATAAGTAATACATATCCAAACATATTATAATCAAAACTAATCGTTACTTAACTAATAATTAAAATATATCCGGAGTTGTATGCGTGAGATTTAAACAAGAATAAAATTTAAGACAAACAACTTATGAGTTACCAAATATAAGTTAGTTTAGTGGGTTGAGATATTTCTAATCTCTCTAGATTAGTGTGATACGTGTAATGACCCAAAATTTTAAGTTAACATTCGAGTATTGATCCGAAGGTTAATTTAATAGGGGTGCACTCCGTCAATTCTTGGGCCTTTAAGAGGCAACATCTCGGACACATAATTTTGGACCTCCTACTTGGTAATTTTCATCGTTAAAGAATTCATATCACTTGAATCAAATACGTGGAATTGTCCGTTTAAGTTTCAATCTTTCATGATGCCACTATCACTATATAAAACTATGCCACTTGCGATCTTAATGTGCTTGGAATCTATTAAAGTTCACCATCACTACCACTTGAAAACCCTTCCAGATTTCCCCAAATTTCTTTATATATTCATATGGTATTGGTACTGTTCTTCAAGTACTGATATCAAGGTCTAAAAATCTCTATTTCCAAGTTTAAGAATCACTCTAAAACCTTCCTAAACACCTTAGACAAAGCTCTAATTAATTCCTAAGGTTTATATGGGTTACATAGGGTCATTTAACATCATTATAACACATGTTTAACAAGGACATGAAATTGAATCATAAAGCATGATTGGCACTCAACAGTCAATAATCAAACGCCAAAAAGCAAGGCATCACAGTTATGAAGCTAAAGAAGCATTCCAAAGTTGGAATTGTACTACAATGATGCTGGAAATAATGAAATAAAGCCCCTTGCTCAACTTCCACCAAGTTTTTCCTTTCTTCTACAACAGGAAGGCTCTTCAACCATTTTCTCTACTCAATTATGAAATACAAAGGTTTTCTAATCACACATAATGTTACAAGAAGACTCAAGGTGTTAAGAATGGAGCTCATAACACCATAGAAACCAAAATCTTTCTTAAACCCTCAACTTTGCTCTACACGATCTTCATAGAAAATATGGAGTGAATTCTAGTGCTAAAAGTTACCTTTCGTTTGACCTAAACCTTAGAAGATTACAAAAAATTTCACCTTTGGAGGTATGGAGCTTGGATAGGGAAGAGGGAGAAGAAAATGAGTGAGATAGGGGAGAAAGAGTGCTCAGCCTTCTGCCTCTTTTCCCTTGTGACATAAGAGAAATTCAATGAATTTCATCCCTTTTATCCTTCAAAGGTCTAATTACTCATTTCTTCAATGGTGATTTAATTTCTAATAAAAGTATATTTTTTATGTCCATTCAAGTCCAATTCTTATTTAAGAGACCCACATTTGGCCCAATGGTTTTTATCATATATATTAATTAGTTCCTAGACCTCTCGGGTTAACTAACATGTGTTGACTCATAAAATCGGTTTATTACAGGCCATCTGACACTGATTACCATCTTCAATTTGGACATTATCGAGCTCTAGCTATATTCATAGAAAGCCACCTAATCAGCTAAGACCATGTAAAAGGGGTGCTCGATATTCACTTTTTTCCGAGCTTTTGAACATTTTTAACAACAATATTCAAGGTCATAGTTTTCTTGAAAGCTTTTTTCAAACTCATGCCTTGTAATGTTCATAAATCGGGCTCGTGACTAACTAATATAGAGTTGGACTACACGAATGTAATATTAAGGACCTAGATTCCCGTATGTTTGCTACTGTCAAAGGTAATTGGAATTTGTTTTAGTTAACGCACCAATCCCACTTTTTCTATTGCAACAATCTCTTGTTGTAATCCACCTTAACAACTTTGCCTATAATACCAACAATAATACTAAAGAGATTTTTAGTATATAGCCATAAGGAAAACCTAGAAGTCATGTCACTAAGATCTATGATGGATGTTTCTCTGCAGTAGAACAACGCCTAGTCCATGGTTGAACCGCGAGGTAGCTTCCATAGATCATACAAGGTACTCCAAGTAGAATTCTAGTATAGTCCTCCTCCCATGCAAATCTTGTCAGGAAATATTCATTAGCAAGATCAATCAATAACATCTTCTCGGACGGGTTCATAACAGTTTAATCCTTCCCAGCATAACATTATACCCAATTGATTTTCCTCGGATGCTATATTTGAACATCCACTTGTTTGAAACTAACTTAACCCTTTTACTCCAGTTGAATATTATGAAATACATTTCCTATGAGGTTATAAATCGGATATAATCTCATTATTAGATGTGTCGAAATATATTTGAAATATAGAAAAATGTAGAAGGAAACAAAATACAACCGATATATTTGAAATGATATATGTGTCAAAATACATTTGAAATACAGAAAAATGTAGAAGGAAATACCAAAATAAATTGGTATTAACATGTATGAGTACTACAACAACAGAAACATGAAGTCATGGTTCCAAAAGCTTCAAATCAAGGGGAGGTAATTTTGTTGACGTCTTCTTCTCCAACGAACCAATCTGGTATCACCCTTGATGCATAAACTGAAATTTCTTTGAATGATTTCTTTATTGTAACCTCAGTCACCTCCAAAGCCATTGCAATATCTACATTAAGTGATCCCAATATTCACCAATTAATAAGTTCTTACACATATCTGATATTTACGGAAGAAATCGATATTTACCTTTAACTGAAACTGGCTGATCTCCCTGAGAAAGCTTAATTACCATGTAAATAATGGCTGCCAAAACAGATTTGGGACTTCTCCTTATGTCAATCTGTTGTGCTCTTTCAACAGATTCTTGGACTGCTTTAATGGCACGGTTTTCCATGTCGAGTTTCAAACAAAACCGTCGGATTTGTTCGCTGGGTTGCACCAACCATGACTCGACTTCCAGCTGTTTCTTTATTGCTTCAGCGGTTCGATTGATATTCTTCTTCGTGACTCCGTCTGACACAGCCGAGATTTCGTTCAGCGTCCGCGACGATCCGATCTCTTTACAAGCGATGAAAAGAGAAGCCGCCGCAATGGAACTTATGCTTCTTCCCCTACATGATTTCAGAATATCGACTGCATTGTATATCTTACAGGCTCTATCTTTCGTCCCTTCCGTCAACCCTAGAGTATCTACCATCGCTGCAATCTGCTCCAACCCTCTCTTCGATGGACTCCTCACGGTTCTCTGATCGTTAGAGCTGACGGTCGACGACGTCGAATTCGATGAATTCTCGACTTCGCAAACCGGGTTTTCAACACAATATGGTGAGTTCTCCCCCTCGGAAATCTCATCAAATAGATTGATTTCAAGAACCGAGCCACAACGAGAACATACTTCATGAGCAGCCTTATGATCAACAACAATTTCAGTGTCTGTTTGACAGGTTGAACAGATGCGTGCAGGCATAGTTGGATCTTTGTTTTTTCGAGTCGAAGGAGGATTGAATGTGTAAAAATCCAGATTTGGGTACTATTTATAGGGAATTAAAGCAATATTATCCTATTCCGATAATGAAAACTAGGGTTTAAGGGAAAAAAGAATGCAGTGCACAAAATCTAACTCCAGATAAGTAATAATTAAATAGTATCCAACCAAATATGGAAACTAAATTTGCCTCTCTCTATTTGTCAATTATCCATTTATATTACCATATATGTCACAAATAATACCAACATTGCATTGATAATCTGAATCTGGGTTCTTAAATCCAGCTAATTGTACACTGTTTTTCTTTTATTTTACCAGCACTAGGTTTTTTTTCCCACTTCGACCAAAGAATAAAAAACCTAAACGGTGTGGAATAAGGGGTTGGTGGTTTGTTTAGTCCGGAGGGGATGATTAAAATTCGACTCTATATAAAAAATATAATTACTTTTTAAATTTTAAATTAAATAATTTGAGCTATAGAGATAACTTGAATAAATAGTTTGAGTTAACTTGAATAACTTAGATAAATGTAATTCTATTATTCCGTACGGCTTTAATTAAGTCAACGAAAAAATATAGTTATTTGTAATCTGATTGAATTGGTCTTTTATTGACGGTTAGAGGACTCACAAATGCTCGCATCGAAACCGTTATATTAAATGATTTACGGTACTTTTTTATTAAATGATTTTCCACTTAAAATCTTGTGTGCTTCATTGTCGATATTATTTTTTGGATATATTTCTTGAATTATCTATAAACTCCTTAAATCCTTAACCAATTAGTCACTTGACGAGGATATTATACATCTAACTCCACTCGAATCCGAAACCTCCGGGATCTTTCAACCACGTCATCTCTAAAGGAAACTTCCCTTGACTAGAGGAATGTTTATGAATAACACTTGTTCTTTTTTGCAAAAACGAGCCCGAAACCTTGTTCTTTGAATCTACAACAATGGCGAAACGCTTGCAAACAAAGAAGGTCTATAGGAAAAATTCAAGACCAGTTAAGAAATATGATTTCATGCTAGAGATTCAAGACAAGGTCTTCTAAGAATTTGAGAGAAAAAAAGAGAGATCATGCAATAAGAAAAGCAAACTTAAAGTGATACATCTTTTTGAACTTCAAGTGGTATAATTGTTGCAACGTCAAAGGACATGTCTTCTGGATCACCAAAGCTCACGACCATTGGTTCTTCAAAAGACATGTTTCTTGAATCTTCAACTTGAAGCGACATGTCTCTTGGAATGTCCTACAAAACAAAATAATGAATAGGAGAAAGAGTAAGGTTAGATAAAAAAAATTCACTCTCCTTTTCTTTTTTACACTCACTTTCCCCTTTACTCCCAAATTCAATCTTTTCATCTATCTCATTTTCAACTCCAATGTTTTTCTCATTTTCATTTTCAACTTGCTCCACTTTTACTTGTTTCTCATGCAAAACTTCTTCCATGGCATTCTTTTTGGTTTGCTTCTTCGTGGATTCAATGTTATTCTTCAGTTAAGTTTGGTATTCATGCACTTGATTGTATTGGCAACATTGCTCGTTTATCAAACTGTCAAGGTCGATCGAAAAGAAGATGGCTTGAATTCATGGGAACAACATCACACAAGACTTCATCTTTATACCTTCCGATTTAGAATGGCATAATTACTTGTTCAGTGACCTTTAACTCTTATTCATCTTTCAACAATTGCAATTCGTATGGGCTGGAATGTTTGATCGTTGTAAGACCCATCTTTTCTACCATATATGTGCTAGCAAGGTTTGTACAACTTCTACCATCAATGGCTACAAGACATACTTTACCATTTACATGGCAACGAGTATGAAATGCATTCTCTCTTTGATGATTGTACTCTATTTCTTGGGAAGATGAAAGATCAAGCAACATTGTTAGTAAAAAAATTGAAATGTGAAAAAGGACCTTACTAATCAAACTCTCACAAAACCTCTCTTAGACACTCCAAAGAAAGAAAATTGTCACTCAACAATCGTGTTTGCACTCAGGACTTGTTATAGCTTTTTCTTTGTCCTCTTCTGTGCTCACACTCTCATGTGCCTTTTTCCTTTCGTCCTCTTTAGTAGGTCCTAATAAAACTTTACTCAAGACTTGTCAAGGTATTGGTACTTTGTATGCGTCGTCTGGAATTGGTTAAGGTGATGGAAAAAATGTAATGTAAAGTGTGGCTAAAAGAAGAAATGAAAGAAAAGAAATGGTTACTTACTTGCAAAGTCACTCACAACTTCACATTCACCACAATAAAGGTCTTGATGACATCTTGAACCTTGTTGGTGTTGTTTTTATTGAAGTGCTTCACTTTGTTTCGCCTTCACTTTTGTTGAATTGAAACTCCTTTTAGTTGATGTTGGAGTCTTCCTTTGATGTTGTTTTTTTCAATTGTTGAATGCACCTTTTGTACTTCTTCTTTTTTCTTTTCTTTGTAAGGCTTCTTGTGTTGCACGTTGCTCTTCACCCAAGGCTCTGAATACCATATGATATAGGCTAATCTGCCATTGATTGTGGATCTAGTGGAGAGCAAGCACCTGCAAGAAGACGGGCTACAAATTGAAGGCTTGGTGGTAAATGAAATATGTTAATGGTAGGCTAATTTTATATATATGAATAGCTGCAGAAGTGTTGTTGAAATGGAAATGGTTTGGGCTTAAGAAACAAGGAAAAATGGTAGGATAATATCTTAAATATACTAAAGAAGAACCAGTGATATAAGAGAGCAAAGACCCAGCCTTACAAGTCTAATTAAGGGGTGGTAGAATCGGGCTTGGACCCTCTATCTATAATGGAGATAAGAACGACAAGTATCAATGGAAATAGAAGAGGTTGATGCCACAAGCACCTAAGTGTCTTGATAAGTCAATAAAAGTTTAAAAGAACTTGTAAAGAGGATAACCTCACAATAAATTGAATTCAAGCAAAAATGATTGTTTTCAAATGACAAACTAATGGCCTATTTATAGTTTTCAAATGACAAACTAATGTCCTATTTATAGTTTTCAAAGGGTTTAGGCTGAATGGATACATGAAGGTTCGGCTATGGTTGGAATCCCTTTAAAAATACATGATTTTTAATGAAAATACATTATTTTAATGAAAATACATGCTCTTTGCCAAATGATAAGGTGTTGGTTCGGCCCTAAGGATGTTTTAAATGTATTTGGAAGTTACTTGGCATCAAAATAAAGTGGAATGAGTCTTTAGCCGAATAGGAAGCTTCCCTTGGTGTTTTGGAGCCTATTTGATGTCACATGGAGTGCACATGCTTGAATGATGCACATGGAAACCTTTTCTTGAATGCACACGGGTCTTCATACAATGCTTTGGTGAGGATGAGACCATAGGATGATGTCTTTGAAGTCCATGAGAAACCTAGAGATGAACTAGCTTCAAGGTAAGCTAGGTGAGTGTCTTGGTAGCTAACTAGGTGAGTTATAGCTTGATGATCTCAAGCTAGTTAGCTTTGGTCTTCTCAGCTCCTCAGCTACTCTCCCAACTACTTCCAGCTACCTTTAGTTCACTTTTCAGCAATTTGGTCGAAAGCTCTCCTCCAGCTATCAGCTACATACTAGCTCCTCCAACTAAGTTGAAGCTCCTTAAGTGAAGAAATGAGCTGTCATAACATTCATGACCTAGTGTGAGTTGTTATGCTTGTCCTTTTAGCTAACCAAGCTTCCATAATATGCCTTGCTTTGTGTTTCACCTATAGGAATCAACAAATAAATCGAGTAAGCAATGTGTGAGCACATTTAAGGTAAAATGCATGATGCCGTGAGGTGTTTGAGTGATATGAGCAATGAATGATCATCTAGAAGCTAAGATAACATGTATATAAGCTAGATAGAAGGCATAGGACGTTCATGAGCTTTAAGAAAACATATATGAGCTAGAAAAGAGTTGCATACATGCAAATGAGCTAAAGAAACATGGATGTAAAGCTATTGAGCTAATATAAACATAACATGAGCTAAAATAACATGACAAACATAATAAATGAATCTAAAACATATGTAAAACATAATATAAAGCTAATTAAAGATGTGGAAACATATGTTATGCATGAAAATCATATAGTATGCAAGTGAATGATAACATATGATTATTCAAGTATAGTTTAAGGAGAAAAAGCATGCTTATAACATTAAATGATGCATATAGAAGATAATAAAGGATAAAGTAAGGAAGAACTCCCTTAAAATCAGCTTTGAAGAACATTCATGGTGTGATCAAGTCATGGAGAAAGTTGGAGCTAGTTTGGATTGCATCACAAAGGAAAATGAGATGGCAAGACTAAAATTTATTGGATATCCCTTTCAGAATCATACCTCTCTAACATAAGAAATATATTTGATCTGTGAGCTAGAAAAGCCATATAACTTGGAAGAAGAATAGGGTTTTAGTTTAAGGGAAATGAAGAATAGATCATCAAAGATTTAATCCAACACGAAGAACTCTGAAGTCGTAGTTTTAGAAAATGAAAAAATGTTCAAAGAATTTATAAATTTTTAGAAGTCGTAGTTTTAGAAAATAAAAAAAATGTTCAACGACTCTATAAATTCTTAAGTCAAGCCGATCATCGGCTTTTGAAATATTGCTAGTTTGGGATGTTATTATCATGAAACATTAGGGGGTTGGGTTCAAGTGAGAAGATCTAGATGGTAGAAAGATTTTGTATGAGTTAACGCTTTAAAATTACCTTCATTCATGTATTAAAAAAAATGGATTCACTCTCAGAAGTAGATATAAGAAAGATTTGGGATGACAATGATTTAGATTTTAATGGTCAGATATGATTCAGTCACTGTCGGTGGTTGTTGTGGACAGAGACAATCATATGATTTTATGTTAGGGGACAAACTTATAAAAAACTAAAATATATGATAATTTAAAATTTACAGAAAAATTGTCTCAGACGCCTCTCGATCCATCCCTAATTATGGATGTGAGTTTGGTTTATAC